TTGCTTTAAGTCTTTGCCTTCATTGCGGCTCGTCTCTGGTCAGATAAAGGCCAGAGAACTAGCGTTACACCGCCTGCTTCATGGAGCCGCGATGTAGGTAAGGAGTGAAAGTAAGAGGTTCCCAACGTAGCTGACCTCCTTCACCTGTTCCCATGCGCCCTAGGCGTTTCGATCCGGGCCTGAGTGTTGAGGCATCCCAAAATGGAATGCAGCACACCTCCCTGCGTATAAGGCCTGCTCTCTGGCCTTTATCGAGGGCACAGGCGAGCTGCAATGTAGGTACGGAGATAAAGCAAGAGCTTCCCAAAAGCAGCTGACCTCCTTCCCCTGTCCTCAGGCGTCCTGGGCGGGCGTTGAGCTGACGGCCCGGGTGTTACGGGGAGGACGCAGCAAGAAATGGGGTTGCAGGGCGCCTCGCTGCGGCAGTTAGTACGAGCCAGCCCCACGCGTGCAGACAGGGAAGCTTCGACGAAGCTTCCTTTGCTGCATGCTTTACCTCTGACTGTATTTGTAGAACGTTTGCATGCGTTTGCACGCAACCTACCGAAGCCAAGTGAAGGCTCCTTCGCGAACTCATGCTACACTGCGGCTGCTGATACACGCCAGCTTCATGTCTGCGCACAGGAGAGCTAAAGAAGGCTTCCTTTACTGCACGATTCACCTCTAAATGCACCTATCTAGTGTTTGTACTTCCTTACATGCAACCTACCAAGGCCAAGTCGAGTCTCCTATCCTATCTGTTGACAGACCACGCTACATCTTCCACAACATCAGGCGAAAAGCGCATTTCCTCGAGTGCAAATGTCCATGTTGAGGGCAATGCAGCAGGCTTGGGCTGTTCACTGCGGTTTCTGGTGGTGCTTTTGAGGTTGCTGCTGCTGCGCCTCCCGCTGCTCCTGCTGGGCGTGTCGCTCTTCCTCGCAATTGCTTGCTGTTGACCATGAAAACCAGTAAAAAGAGGTAGCTGATAGTACGAGAAGGCCCAATCGGCAGCCTGTCGGGGGGACTTCCCCAGCTGCTCTTGCTGCAGCGAGCTCTGCAGGTCCTGCTGCAGCATAAGCGGAAGACAACGCGCCGTTTTCGCGGCGACTATGTCGCTGAAGGCATGGTGGGGGGGAAGTTGGTGGGGTGCAGGTGGCACTTTCCCACTTACCCGCACACACATGCACACGCACACAGAAACACACACACAACAGGCGGCCATTTAGTGCCCACGCACGAAGCTTTGCATGCTGCTGAGCGTCTACGTGACAAGTGTATTGTAGAGAAACACACTAAGTGGACAGTGATCTGAATCTGCAGGCAATCAACGTCGTAGGGGAGATGTTAGCCACCTGGGAAGCCGCAATGCAGGGTTCCCAGGCCCAATATATATATATATATATATANTATATATATATATATATATATATATATATATATATATATATATATATATATATATATATATATATAGCCCGCTGTAACCCGGAGAAAACACAAATACTGTGCAGGGAAATAAATCTCCCCGAGCTCTCTTATAGCGCAAACATAGAAGTGTTCGCATGCTTGTTATGCCTGGCAATCGGCCCACAGAAGACCCGGGAACCATACGCAGGTGGCGTCGGGCTCGTCGATGCGGATGATATCTGTTTGGGAGCCCAGAAAAGCTCGGAAATGTTCAGCAGGGCTCGCCTCACGTACGCTATCTTTCGCAATCCACTCAGATCTACGGCTCCCCCGCAGTTTTCCATAGTATTCAGGTTTTCCATGGCATAGGCGACTTGCAACCCGCGCCTGTAGAATGTGTGTGTCTTCCACGTGTGGTTGCTCACGATGTCGTTGCTGCTCTTTCCCCACCAAGGTGCAAGAGAACCGCGAGGATTCCCGGAACGGCTTTAAAAACCCGACGCTAACAATATGGAGACATCTCCACGTTGAAACTAACTCAACGATATAGGCCAACGAACACCCACAACGGACAGCAAAACGAGCACCTGCTCATCCTCCTGCGCGGTTGAAACTAACTGCTGAACGCCTTTTGCCGTAGTTTCTTGCTTGGCTTCCCTGTGCCTTTCTCATGCATTCCCCTGCTGCTGCGAGCTGTGTGTGGACATCAGAGGCCGCCGTCATTATGCACTGGCTTCCAACAGCGACACTTGGCGTTGGGTCCACAGAAAATCCAGTAACTGCCCTTTCTGTGTAGACTAGAGATGCCGCGGGGCTCCGAGTGCACAGTAGTACCAACTCATTCTGCACAAGCAAGAAACTCAAGCCAATTAAATGTGTTCTGTTGGCTGTAAAGGCACAAATGTTGCACTAGCGTGCAATTAGTTCATTCAGCCTGACCGTCTGNACCGTCTGCCTCCGCATGGTTGGTGATGGCCATGTTGTTGTCAATGCTGAGCTGTTACATGAGGATGCGCCAAAAGGCGACAACGAACTTCGGATCCCTTTCGGTAACGATGCGTTTTGGAAACTGTCGTGCCGCCACACATCTGCTAAGCCGATGCTCAACTACTTAGATATTATAATGACCGCTTACTGGTGGCAAACCCAGTATGAATCCATTGAGATGTTCGTCCAGACCATCTCAGGAATTGCAAGGCTTTGCAGGAATCCGGGTTGTAGGATGTTCAGTGGCTTGATCATGCATTTGCGCAGAACTTCCGTGCGAAGAGAGGCTGGAACGTACACTCTGCCAACACCACGCCTCGTTGGGTACCACAGGAGGTCGCCATCGGTGCTGTAGTGCTTGACCCGTCGCCCATTGTTGAGCTTGGCTAGGACTGCAGCCCCATGATTTGCTAAGGAAAAAGAAGGACGCAATTTTTAGATACAAAATGAATCATCAGAGGTACGTGCAGTCGCGGAACATCGTATTTGACCGGTAGGGTGTTTGGAGGCTGCATCAGAGACCACGTTGGTGAAACCATTGATATACTTAACAGTGAAATCGTACGGCGTGAGCCCGGAGAGCCAACGAACAACTCTTTTCTTATCGTAGTCGTGGAAACTCTTTGTCAGATCTGTCAGCGATTGATGTTCGGTTTGGAGAGTAAAGTGCATGTCATGCAGGTGATGTCGACACATTTTTACACCCCACCATACCGCGTGAAGTTCCTTCCCCCATACCGGATGCCTTTGCTCCTCTGTGAAACGGTGTGAGTAGCATGAAACTATTTGGTGCCTTTTCGGGCGGTTAACCTGCTGAGAGAGCATAACGCCGACTGCGGTGTGGCTGGTATCGGTCGTGAAGAAAGAGGGTTTATCAAAATCAGGGAGCGCAAGCACTGCGGATGATATCAGGTGCCCAATGAGGCGTCGGGACACTTCATCCTCATTCGCCATCCAAAAGAACTGCCTCTCCTTCTTAAGAAGGTCAGCTAGAGAGGCAGCAGTAGAGCGAATCCATGAATTAAAATGCATGAGGCGAGCCCGGCGAACTTCTGGACTAAACTACGCATGTACAGCGGTTGCAGCCATCACTGAATCGCCCCGATCTTGGCCGGATCCGGTTCATACCCTGCTGCAGAGACACGAAATCCTGAAAAAAAATTGTTTGCATGAAAAATGAACATTTCTGCGCTTTCACGAACCACTTCTTCTCACGTAGTAGTTGCGTTTCCCGCCGGACGTGCTGCAAGTGCTCCTGCACAGTTTAGCTGAACACAGGCTCATCATCCATTGTAGTGAATACTCACTACAATCACGGCAGCAATGCCGTGCTCGTTGTGAAGTGAGTGAGGGTTGTACGAATAGTGAAAGTGAATGTGAGATTCTTATTGATATACTTTGAATATAACATTGGTAAAAGCATTAAGCATTCTTTATGGAGTGACCATTGGTATGGTTATAGGTGAGGGTGGCTTGTGTTTTGGTGCAAAAGCTATTTGCATCAGGCTACGCCGTCTCCTCTCCCAGCCCCAAAGGCCGCAGTGCCTGCT